CTTACTATGTTGAAAAGGAAATTTAAAGCCAACAGCTACCTTCTCCCCCTCTGACATGTGCTCTTTCACATTCCAGAGCAAGGAGATTGGCCTGCAGATGCACGAGGAGCTCCTGAAGGTCACCAACGAGCTCTACACAGTAAGTCCTGCTCAGCTCTGCTGCCATGTGAGATCGGGCCCCTTTCTTCGGTGCCCAGGGCTGGAGGGAGGCTAACCACAAGTCTGGGAGGACCCTGAGCCTTTTTTACGATGTGGCCAAGGGACAGGGGGTCATTACAGTGGGAGGCAGTGATTCAAAACCCCAGCTGCTCATTCTGTACACCTGGGGTGGGGCCCTGGGCGTGTTTACTTAGTAAAAGTTCCAGCTGTGGGAATGTGCTACCTACCAAAGCAGAAGGCACAGAGTTGGGGTGGGGGAGCATGGACACACGCTCCCGAGGGAGGAGTGTGGGTTTGGAGTCAGGTAGGACAGGCTAAAGTCGAGGCCTGCTCCTTGCTGACGGTGGGACCTTAGGCATCCATGTAGCTCATGTGGGCTCAGTCCTTATCTGCAAAATGGAGCACTGCTCTGAGGATCACATGCGGTGAGGGGGATGAGCATGCCTTGCCATCTCCAGGAAATAATTTCAGAACATCACAGTTTGGCCAAGAATTGCTAACTGCGTAGAGACAAAAATCTAACTGGACTTCGGATGAGTGTTAGAATCCAAGAAGGTGAGTGGATGGGGGAGCACAAACACACCGGTCATAGTGCAGGAATTTATTTGGTAGATAGTGCAGCAGGATATCAAACCCAGATTTGTCTGTAATCAGATTTGTTCGCTCTGCTGGGAATCTCCGCTGCCTCTCCTGCTGAGAAGTCCCTTTCTCTTCCTCTCTTCCCCTCTGCTTCTTGAATTCTTCCCCATCCACAGGCACCAAGCTCAGACTCACTCTTGATCACAGAAGCTCACCTGGAGCCATCACTTTTCTGAACTCTTAACTAATCTCTCATGCACATGCACACTCTTCCTCTCATTTCTTCACTCACCAAATAAGTATTGATCGCCGGCTATATGCCAGCACTGCTGGAGGCTCTGGACACACTGTGGAGAACATGGTGCAGCCTCCACAGGCTCACGGTCTAGACACTCTCCCTCCCAGGCCACATATCCAGCACACACTATGCTCTGTATCATCCTTTCACATGCTTTACTCTTGTCTCCCTGCCCAGACTCTAAATTCCTTGTGGGCAAAACCAGTTTCTTTCATTTATTCATATATCCCTCCCTCCCTTCTCTGCTTCATAAGCACCCTGGGAACACCAGGGATGTATAAGACACTTCAAAGACCAACTCTTGAAATGTTCACAGCCTGCCCCTGTGCCTCTTACAGCACTGGGTCCACGGCAGGCAGATGCATGTGCTTGAAATGAATTTCTGGGCAACTACTGAAGACTCAGTGTGCGGTCAGCAAATGACCTAGGAGGGGTTTGCTGTTGGCACCCCAGTGCTCTCACTCTGTTGGCAGCTACAACAAAAATGGCACCAGGTGTTAGACCAGTGGGGTCCGATGGGGCCTTAGTTCAGTAACCTTGGTACTTGAGTTCTGGCTCAGAAAGAATTCAGAACCAAGATTCAAACTATAAGAGAAATTTTATTTAGAAAGTCACAGAGGTAGAAGAGTGGGTGGTAGAAGAAATGGGCTCAGGAAACAAGTTACAGCATCAAAAGCAGGGCCTTTGGAGTTTAAGAGAGAGAAGGGTAAAGGTAATGTACCTGGGAGGTGGGGGTTGGGAGGAGTGGAGGGAGAGGGGAAAGGCCAGGCGTGCTAGGGCACAGAGTTCAGGGGAGTTCCTAGGGGAGGATCTCAATAGAATATTTATCAGCTTTCCAGGTGTGTTCTTTCTGGATTGTGGTCTCCACGGATTGGTTGGCGCTAGGGCAGGGGGTCTTTAGTCAATACAGCCGGTCCAGAGGTCAGCGTGTTCTCTCTGGTCTGGTTTTGCTGCTTTTCTGGTTTTGCAGCTTTTCTGGGCCTGGAGCTGAAACACAACAGAGGCCTAGATGTATTTGATGCAGGTCAGAACCTCATTGTCCTGGGGGCTTAATGCTTAAGGGCTATTCCCTGGCCTGCTTGTTTGTACCCTCTCTAAGGGGGCCTAACCCGCATGACTGGCAACATGCCAGGGGAGGAAAGGTCAGGGGAGGGTCTGAATCTCATGATCAGCAGTATGCTAGGGTAGGGCAGTCACTCTGGAGACGAGGTTCTTGTTTTCCCAGTTTTGCCTTGGTGACCTCTGTACCTGTCCCATTGTCCTTGCTCTGCTCATGCATGTCTAACTGCCTACCACAACTCTTCTGCAGCAAGCAGCACCCCAAAATACTCACCAGATCAAAGGCAATAGAACAGTACCCCCTCCATTTTATCTTATTTCCTCCCTCAGTTTTCCCCCTTCCTTCCTTCCTTCCTTCCTTCCTTCCTGCTGCAGCTTTCAGTTTTTAAATGCCTGACTCTTCTGTTGTCCTAACCATGCTGTCAGTAATGAATGTGTCCTCTGCTCTGAGAATTGTGTTGAATAAGTTGCAAATTTCTCTATCCTATTCCTCTATCTAGTTCAGCGGTTCTCAACCTATGGGTTGCGACTGCTTTGGCGGTCGAACGACACTTTCACAGGGGTTGCCTAAGACCATCCTGTATATGGGTCTCATGCTCACCCTCAGGTGGAGCCTGTTTTATTTTCCCATCAACCACATGGACTGAAGGTGGGGAGGGGAATTGGGGGTATTTCCTCAAAGAAAATCAGGGAGCTGTTCTAAAAGAAGGAGGACTAGATGATCCTAGGCAGAGAAAAACAACAGATGTCCACTGAGGAGTCACTGGGGGAGAATAAGGAAGTAGCTCCATTGGCTAGTGCCCAAACAAAGCTCTGCTCCTCAAACTTATTGGCTCCTCCTGCTTCTGGGCTTAATGCTCACACTGCTCCCTCTTCACCCCACCCACCCCCACTCCATGTCCTTTTCATCCAGCTAACAGCTACTCTTCTTCAAGGTTCAGTTTAGATGTCACTTCCTCCAGGAAGCCTTCCTTTAATGCCCTGTACTTCCCTCATCATAGTACTTAACACTCCATGTGATAATCACGTATATCATTGTATCCCTACTAGAGGGTGTGTTCTGTGAGGGCAGAGACCTTATCTGTCTTTCACACTGTGGTATTTCCTAGTATAGTACCCAGCACATAATAACCTGTCCAATAAAAATGTGATTATTAAAGGTATAGCTATGCCCCACCCCAATTATATTTACCAGATTGAAGGCAGTAAAACTATACCTCCCCTATTTTATTCTCCCTCCTCTCCTCCCTCCCTCCCTTCCATTCACATATCCATTATTTTACCAACCTACTTATCCATCTACCCACCATCCATCCACCTATCTATCTATCCATCCACTCATCTATCCATCTACCCATCCACTTATCCATCTATTCAGCCAGCCAACTCTTATTCATTCATTCATTCATTCATTCATGCAAACATATATTGATACTTGCTGGGTATCCGTCACCACTTTAATATAATGACTATGATCATAAATGGGGTTCTGGCCCTCCTGGACTTTAACTTTAGCAGGGATGTTTATAAACATGCAAAATGAATAAATAAAATAGTGATGATAACTTTTATGGAGAATGGAGGCCAGACAGAGTGTGGGTGGTCAGACTGAAATTCAGGGACTTCTCTTTTCTTTCAAGGGTGCCTTTGACATGCGTTAGCTCAGGGTCTCCCCCACACAACTCTAGGATAACCCAGGGATGGCCTTGGGGTATAGGAAGCACACCTGCACTACACCGTTGGAAACCTGTTTTCTAACAACTGATCCTTATCTTGTCCCAGCGTGTCCCTTTACTGATACTGTCAACTTCCAGGTCGTCTTTGACTTTGTTTGCATATAAAAGAGCATCGGAGGGGCTGTGCAGATAATCCTTTCCTGTTTTCATGATCTGAGGCTTTGGGAAGATGTCAAAGGCAAAGTGCACACAGCAGAAGGCAGTGTGATTACCAGAAAAGACAGTGCCCACTGCTAAGAAGGCCTGACTGTCCACCTTGCTATCTGACTTTGAACAGCACACTAGCTTTTCTGGGCTTTAGTGTCCTTCCCTGAGGGGTTGATACACCAAGATTTCTGGGGGGCCTTCCAAGCACCTATAAAACTAATCTGGGTGCAGGAACAGTGGTCTCCGCTTCCATATTCCTACACTGTGCATCTCAGCCTTGTTCTGAGGCCCCCTTCTGATAGGGTCCAAGGGCAGGACAGGAACCCCCATCTGGCATGAAGCTGGGTGTGTGCCTCTGAGGGCCCTTTATCGATCCCAGGTTGGAGACTGGGCCTTGGCTAAAGGCCTGCATCCATGCTGCTCCCTTCCTAGCCCAGCACTGCTGTCAACCTGACACTTTATAGTCGTACTTTTTGGAGCATCTTCCTACCTACCTCCCATCTGGTCTTCGCCAGGTAGCACAGAGAGGACAAGCCCCTGCCATGGTCACCCAGCAGTGGTGGGAGCGTTGAGTCTCAAAGCCGGGCCTCCGGGGTCCCGGTGGGGTAGAGGATCCTTCATCCCTATTTTGTGGTTTCCTCTTTTATAAAGTAGGGATTACATGGTACCCACCTCATAGGGTGGTGGTGTTTTATTTTATGAGAAATAAATGAGTTGCTATATATAAAAACCTGGTAGATAGTAAGTGCTCAGTAAATGTCAGCTGCTATTGTTATTATTATCACATTGCCTCCCAGGATTTGGGATAAGGATTAGCTGAAATGCTCCTTGGAGATAATAAAAGCAGAGGTTTGCAAACTCTGAAGCTTAAATATTAGTTAACATATCCTAGACTGGCAATATTGAGCAGACTATTCTAGGCTATTGAACTAAGGACCTTTCAAGCTGACTCCTATGTTTCAATTTATCTAGAGCAGTGGTTCTCAACCTTCCTAATGCCGCGACCCTTTAATACAGTTCTTCATGTTGTGGTGACCCCCAACCATAAAATTATTTTCGTTGCTACTTCTTAACTGTAATTTTGCTACTGTTATGAATCATAATGTAAATATCTGATATGCAGGATGTATTTTCATTGTTACAAATTGAACACAAAGCATAGTGATTAATCACAAAAACAATATGTAATTATATATGTGTTTTCCGATGGTCTGAGGCGACCCCTGAGAAAGGGTCGTTTGACCCCCAAAGGGTTCGCTACCCACAGGTTTAGAACCGCTGATCTAGAGGATTCTGGGTATAAGTACTTAGGCCCGTTTCAGAGATGTCCCCAGGTGAACTTTTTTGTGGCAGCTGTTGGACATAAGTCACCCAGGCCATCCAGTTCCCTGATATTCTTGGGATCAGGCATTACCAATTGGACCACATAGCACGTGGCTTCAGCACTGTCAGGGCTGTGCTCTCCAAACATGGGGTTTTGGGAGTGCAGTTCAAAGACCGCACTGGGAAGCTTGGCTTGTGGAAGAGCAGAAAGAGTGCTCTATGGTTCAAGAAGAGGAGAAAACTGGGCAAAGGAAAATGTGAGAAACTGAGAACACCCTGCTGGGGTGCTGACCCTGTAACCGGACAATCAAAGGGTCTGGGCTTGAGCCAATTTAGCAGAGGCAGGGTTGAATCATATATGAGCATTTATTCCAATACTGCCGGCAGTATGGGAGAGCAGCAGGTCATCCACAAAAATCTGCTCTGCACTACACCATAAGCCACTGCTTATGGTGGGTAGAAAGACAAAGATTACATGGGAAGTAGGCAAAAAAAGGTATGCCAAATGGGCAGTTTACAGGTAATGCGGACTGGAGACTTGCAAAGGCCTGCGGGTATGCAAAGGCTGGGGGTCTTCAAAGGGCTGGCAGCTCTGGTTTCTGCTTTAAGGTTATCTTTCGATGCTAATAGGCAGCTCCCAGATGGGGAGGATGGGTTGCATTTCCAGGTGAGCTCCCAGGTCCCACGTGCAACTCCCAGCCAGGTTAGAATGTGCCTTCTTTAATCAGAACAAAACAATCATGGTTAACGGAGTATGATTAATATTTCTTATAATTATAGCTGGTCCCCAATATTCTATTTCTGTCCCTCTCAACCCGAGTGAGTAGATGGATGCATGCATGGATGATTGCACAGGAAGATCTAGCTGCAAATAGAAATGTGCTCTCTTCCTCTGCACTACCTAACACAGATGACAGATTTAGTGCTGAAATAAGCAGACCTCAGCAGTTGAAGTAGAAAAAAAATGGATGTAGCAGGAAAGATTGAACCCAGAAAGGGAGGAGTCCAGAAATGAACATCACCAGAAGCATGGCAGAAAGCAAAGAAAGCAGTGGTATCTGTGAATGTGGAGGGATAGAGGAAATATTCAAGAATGGGAAAGGCAGGGTCCTGGAGACAGACTAGAGCAGGCATTACCCACTCTTAGCTGCATCACGTTCCTGGAGCCATTGCACAAAGGAGGTGGTGAAAAATAGCCAACTGCCTTGGTTATCCACAAGCCTGCAGCCCTTCCTTTTGGCCACTAGATGTCAAGAATGCACCAACCCAGCACACTTTCTGGACCCTTGAGTTTGGAAATAGGCTGAGTGGAAATGAGTGGGTGAAATCAGCAAGTTGGGGATCTCTAGAGGTTTTAGGGCAACTGCAAATAAGCAAAAATAAAATAAAATAAAATAAAATTGGGTAGAATGCAGACAAGTGGTCTTCTCACCAAGACCTACAAAGAAAATTGATTGCATTTTTTATCCATTTATTTTTTTTGAAATTTGGGGAGGTTTTTAGGTTGAAAGAAGGAGGGAGGAACATGGTATAGAATATATATTTTTTCAAAATAGTAGATGTTCTGTAGAATTTGCAAACATTTTCCTGAAGTCAAGTGAGTTTAAGGTTCTGAAACCCTCAGCCTAAACAGGGAGGATGGTGATCATGGTGATGGGGGCAGCTAATGCTCTTAACCCTGCAGCAGGTAATGTTCTCAGCACTTTACAAAAACTGACTCCTTAAGTCCTCACAACAAACCTAGAGGTAGGTGCTATTATCCTCATTTTACAGACGAGGAGAGAGAGGTCAGAGAGGGGAGGACTTGCCCAAGGTCACACAGCTTGTAAATGGCAGCCTTAGGATTCAGCCCAAACATTTGGGCCCAGAGTCCGTATGTTTACCCACCATGTTGTACCATAGATATTGCCCCGATTGACTCCTAACCTCTGGCAAAAGGAACTTTCTGAACCACAGATCAATGCTGTGACTTAATGGTGAGAGTCACAGAAGAAACCCTCATTCTAATAAACTTACCTCACAAAACATTAAATGAGAATAAATAAGGTTATAATGTTGGCCAGTATTTCATTCCAATTTCCCTGACTTTGAAGGGCTTGGTTAGGCAGGAGTACACCCCATGACCTCATAGAAGCCTCTGCTCTATTAGCTGCTGTAATTATCCAAAGGACAGAGAGAATAAACAAGGCCAGGAGCCATTAGCTCTCGTCCTCTCCCTTCCTTTCTCTAAATCAATTAAAAATAATTTTTAAAAAACAAGGGCAGCCCTGGCCAATGCTCAGTGGTTAGAGCCCTGTCGAGGACTGAAGGGTCTTTCTTGGGTTAGATTCCCAGTCAAGGGGTCAAGGGCACATATCTGGTTTGCAGGTTTGATCCCCAGCCCTTCAGGCATGCGCAGGAGGCAACAAATTAATCTCTCTCTCTCACATCAATGATTCTCTCTCCCCTTCCCTCCTTCCCTCCCTTACATTCTCTCTAAAAATCGCTGGAAAAAATATCCTTGAGTGAGGATGAACAAACAAACAAAAATAGATAAACAAATTGTGGTATAGCCATACAATGGGGTACTACTTAGCAATAAAAAAAAGAACGCATGATACGTGCAACAAATGGGAGAATCTAAAAAAATTATGCTGAGTGAAAGAGGGTAGACTCAAAGGGTTTATACTGTATGGTTCCATATAGATGAAATTGTACAGTGACAGAAAGCCAGTCAGTGATTGCCTGGGTCTGGGGTAGGGGTGGGGAAGGACGGTGTAGGGGCACCAGGCTCTTTCAGGTAATGATGGAAGTGCTCTATACCTTGATTGTGGGCTTGGCCACATGGATGTAAAGTCTGGAGACTATGCTGATACTACTGCTAATCTTGGAGGACCTTCTGGGCCTCAGTTTCCCTATTTATAAAATTTGGTAGTCAGATTAGATGACATCTAGGATTTCCTCTGACTCAAAAATCCCTTTGTTATAACAACATCCAACTTTTGTTATGGACGCAGAGTAGCAAAGGGCAATATGCTTTACAGGAATTCATTTTATAGTCAAGGATGAGTTTAGTTCAGAGAGCACAGAATATGCATTCAGATGTATTGTTACCCAATAGTACTCCTTTTGGGAACAGTCATTTGTAGGCCAATTTTACTTAATGAAACAGCTGAGAAAATAATTTGCTTGTAAGAAGGATGTTCCCATGGAAGCTCCAAGAGTACTGGAGGAGGGGCTTTCCCAGTGACACAAGAATTATGGTTGGGAGGCTAGAGAGAGCAGCAACTTTGCCATATCACCTCTGAGACCCCAAATGCTTGGGGACTGTGGTTGCCCTTTAAATTTTCTCTTTGCTAGTCCATTCTTGGCACTTAGTAAGGACTTAATGATGGTGATGGTGATGATGATGATGATGATAACTATGAAGCTGCTACTGACAATCATCATCTCCAGTCCTCCGAGAGTTTTTGCAGAAGTAAAGAGCTGTGGGAGCTCAGAGTGTGTCATGGGAAGAGGGAGGGCTGAGCAGATTGGAGTGCGGAACTTAGGGGGCCGAGAGCACTAGAGCCACCCAGGCTGGGCCCTAACAGCCTGCTGATTCCTGCACTTGTGTGTGCCCAGGTCATGAAAACCTACCACATGTACCACGCGGAGAGCATCAGTGCGGAGAGCAAGCTGAAGGAGGCTGAGAAGCAGGAGGAGAAGCAGTTCAACAAGGCGGGAGAGCTCAGCATGAACCTGCTCCGGCACGATGACCGGCCCCAGCGCCGCAGCTCTGTGAAGAAGATTGAGAAGATGAAGGAGAAGGCAAGTGAGGGCCCTGGGGCCATGCTCCCTGACAGCCTTGGCCTCCCCCTCTGCATCCTGGGGGTTGTGAGGGTAGAATAATGCTGCCCGCATCTGCTCTCTTGGAGGTCAGTGTCATGGAGGAGGCAGGTCTGGCTTGTGCCAGGGTCAGCAGGTGGAAGAGGTCTTCAGCTGACAAGAGAGCTGAACTGTGATGAGACTCATAGCCCAGAGCACAGGCGTTAATGAGGGGTGGGGGCTTGCTCTGGGGGTCAGTTAGGTGTCTGGGGGCTGGTTGGGACTGAGTGTGTCCCAACAAGAGGGAACAGCACTGGGCTGCCAACCAGCACTGGGAACTTGGGAAAGAACCATTCCAGTATTGCCATTGCCAAAGCAGAGGCAGGTGATTGGAATGGCTGTGTATCAGTGCTGGGAAGTGCCTCAGCAGGACATGGTGAGAGGAGTACTGGTTCTGGAGTCAGATAGACTGGGTTTTGAAAACACCACAGCTTTTACACCTCTCTGAACTTCAGTTTTAAATCTGACAGTGATGGCAGATAATTCTCCTCTCTCAGTCAACTCTGATGGATCGGTAGTGGCTGCCCAGAGCTCTGTGTTGAGGATCATGAGCTCTCTCCTGGCTTGAGCTGAAAATGGTGCTATGATCAATTAATAATGTCTGCCATGGCCAGAATACAGAGGGGCAGGGCACAGGTTGCTTTTCTGTCATCCTAGACTAGGCAACTTCTAAGGTTCATTTCTTCTTGAAAGACTATGATTTCTTGTTGAATCTTCTGCATCCATTCATTCTATGGGATCAGCAAACATTTCCTGAATTCTTTCTATGTGCCAAACATTGTGCCAGATGTTTATTTGGGCTTCAGTGAGATGAATTCTATGATGATATGATCCTACAGCTCTTAAAAATTATAGGAGATTGAGTGGGAACAAGATCCAAGAGGACCTAGGTAAGCAGGAAAAGTAATCAGAGGCAAATAAAAGAAGACTTCAGGGTAATTGCTAAAGGCAAAGAAAAATGGGCTCCACAATAATTAGGCAGAGACTCAATTAAAAAATGGGCAAAGTATTTGAGTAGACTTTCTCCAAAGAACATGTATGAGTGGTCAGTAAGTACATGAAAAGATGCTTGGCATCATTAGTCATTAAGGACGTGCAAATCAAAACCACAGTGAGACACCACTTCATAGCCATTAGGATGGCTAAAATAAAAAGACAGACAATGACAAACATTGATGAGGATGTGGAGAAAGTGGAACCCGTGGATACTGCTGGAGGGAAGGTAACATGATTCAGCCACTTTGGAGAAGGTTTTGGCAATCCCACAAAATTTTAAACATAGACTAAGTTACCATATGACTTAACAATTCTACTCCTAGGTATCACTCAAGAGAAATTTAAGCATATGTCCACACAAAAACTTGCACATGAATGTTTACTGAAACATTATTCATAATAGCTCCAAAGTGGCAACAACCCAAATGTCTGTCAGCTGATGAATGGATGGATAAAATGTGGCCTGTCCACACAACAGAATATTATTTAGTCATAAAAAGGAATGGAGTACTGATTCATGCTACAGCATAGATGAATTTTGGAAACAGTGAAATAAGCCAATCACAAGAGGCCACATATGTAGGATTCTATTTATATTAAATGTCCAGAAGAGACAAATCCATAGAGATAGGAAGTATCTCTATGGTTGCCAGGGGCTGGGGCAGAGGAGAATAGGGAGTTGACTGCTAATGGGTACAGGATTTCTTTTTGGGGTGATGAAGATATTCTAAATTTAGATAGTGGTGATGGTTATATAACTCTGTGAATATACTAAAAACAAAGAAATATTTAGCACAACTGTTGTGGCTCAGTGGTCGAGCATCGACCTATTAACCAGGAGGTCATAGTTCAATTCCCGGTCAGAGCACATGCCTGGGTTGTGGGCTTGATCACCATTGAGGGGTGTACAAGAGGCGTCAATCAATGATTCTCTCTCATCATTGATGTTTCTATCACTCTCTCCCTTTCCCTTCCTCTCTGAAGTCAATAAAAATATATATGAAAAAAATATTTTTAAAAAGATAGTCAGGCAAGGAATTACAGAACAACATGGAGGGATATGTAAGGGGGTAGAGAGAATACTGGCTGGGAGTCTGAAGACTAATTTTGTGTTCAGAGTTGTATGTAAATTAGCCATTTGGCCCTTGGAAAAGCTGCTTCTCCCCTTCAGTTATCTTTTCACTTATAAAATGGATGAATTACACTAAAATACCTTTACTATCCTTCCCAGGTATAAACTTTTATGAGTCCATAAAGGGCTAAAAATGGTCTCAGGGTCAGAGTAGTTCCCTGAAAACTGGTCAGGGTTATCAAAACTCTCTGTGAGGGTTGGATGCATGGCTGGTACAGGAGGTAATTACCTGCAGTCTGTTTTTGGAAATTCCCAGAATAAGTGGACCCTGGAGAAAGAAAGGTCAGAGGAGATCTCTGGGGACACCTCTACTAAGAAGCTAGGAGAACCTAATCTGGAATAAGGAAGGTTTAAGAGTGTCTAGATGCCGAAACCGGTTTGGCTCAGTGGATAGAGCATCAGCCTGCGGACTGAAGGGTCCCAGGTTCGATTCCGGTCAAGGGCATGTACCTGGGTTGCGGGCACATCCCCAGTAGGAGATGTGCAGGAGGCGGCTGATCGATGTTTCTCTCCCATCGATGTTTCTAACTCTCTATCTCTCTCCCTTCCTCTCTGTAAAAAATCAATAAAATATATTTTTTTAAAAAAAGAGTGTCTAGATGAAGGAGGAAACTCAAAGGAGAGCTGTATTTTTACCCAGCAGTGGGACTCATTAGTCTGAAAGGAGTAAGGGGATAGCTCTCCAACCCATGAACTCTGCTCCTTCCTGCAGCTGGCCCCATACAGGAGCAGCTCCCCAGGGAGGCAGTTGGACTCCTCGCCATCACTGCCCCTGGGCTGCCTGCTCTACCTCCTCCTCCCACATCCAGACAGCCCATGAAAACCACGGAATGACTGCCTTGTGCAGGGACTGGTCTGGGTGTTACAGGTCCAGAGCTGAGCAAGGCAGAGCGTCCCTGACTTCACAGGGCCTACTTTCTAGTCGGGAGTCTGAAAATCAGCAAGTACACAAAGAAGTAAAAAATATAATTTGGGGCGGTAAGAAGTGCTTTTGAAGAAATCAGGATGTCCTTCAGTAGGTGAATGGATAAATAAACTGTGGTAAATCCAAACAATGGAATGTTGACTAAATATTCAAGATCCAAAAAGAAATGAGCTAGCAAGCCATGAAAAGACATGGAGGAACCTTAAAGTGCCTATGATTAAGTGAAAGAAGCCAATTTGAAAACAATACATACTGTATGAGTCCAACCATATGACATTCTGGAAAAGGCAAAATGATGGAGACAAGGAAAGTTAAGAGGTTGCCAGGGGTTGGAGGGAGGGAAGGATGAAAAGGCAGAACACAGCAGGTTTTTAGGGCAGGGAAACAAATCTGTGTGCTACTATAATGGTGTCCAAACCCATAGAATGTAGACACCAAGAGTGAAGCCCAGGGCAAACTGTGGACTCTGGGTTATAATTAGTGAATGTACTGTTCTGGTGGGGGTTGTTGCTAATGGATGAGGTTGTGTGTATGTGGGGCAGAGGCATATGGAAAGTCTCTGCACCTATCTTCTTAATTTTGCTATAGACTAAAACTGCCATAAAATAATGTCTTAAAAATGGAATAAAGATTAAATAAACAAAAAAAAATTGAAAAGAAACTGCATCGGGAAGGCCGGGGAGGGTTGGGGGGCGGGAGGTAGGAGGGTAAGAGATCAACCAAAGGACATGTATGTATGCATATAAGCATAACCAATGGACATAAGACACTGGGGAATAGGGGAGGCTAGGGGACTGTCTAGGGCGGGGGGAAAAGTAGGCACATATGTAATACCCTTTGTAACAAAAAATAAAATTTAAAAAAAAAATTGAAAAGGGCAAAATGATAGAGGATGGAGGGAGGGACAGTGGAGATGCTGGCAACATTTTAGACAAGGCTGCCGTCAGAGTCTGAGCTGACCATTTTGTCAATCCCACAAAATGTTCAACGTAGACCTTGGGTAAGGACCTGAAGGACATGAAGGACCAGATCACACGGAGACTTGGAAGCATGGCCTGCCAGGCAGGGAGAACAATTAGTCTGAAGGCCTAGAGGCAGGAATGAAGTTGCCCTCTTAAAGGATGGGCAGAGAAAGCTGGCGATGAGGAAGAGCCTAGAGGAAGAGGGGCTTGGGACATCACGGGCGCCATCGCAGTAGTTTGGACAGCCATTGGGGGCTGGTGTGTAGGCCTCAGGAGGTCTTATTAACAAGCTCTGGTGGAGGCCAGTAACAGGCAGCTGCTTATTGAATAGTGCTGTCATTGGCTATATGTGGGCAATGGAAGGTGAGCATTTTGAGTACAGAGTCCAAATCTTACTCAGCTGGCAAACGGAGTAAGGTATTCCAGAGGGGTACAGTGCATTTAATCACCGGAGTGACCATTAAGAAAACCCCAGCCCTGGCTTCTGTGGATCAGTGGTTAGGGCACCACTGGCACCCAAGGGTCACGGGTTCAATTTCCAGACAAGGGTACGTACCTGGGTTGCAGGTCCGATCCCTGGCCTGGTCAGAGCATGTGCAGGAGGCAGCCAGTTGATGTGTCTCTCTCACATTGATGTTTCTTTCTCTCTTCCCCTCCCTCTCCTTACCACTCTCTCTAAAAGTCAATGTGTTTTTTTAATATCATTCGTTGAAGATTAACAAAAACAAACAAAAAAACCCCCTAAATCCCTGCCATTAGTGGCTCAGCTCTCACACCTACTCTTTTCTTCTTCCAGAGGCAGGCAAAGTATTCTGAGAACAAGCTGAAGTGCACGAAGGCCCGGAATGACTATCTGCTGAATCTGGCTGCCACCAATGCAGCTATAAGCAAATACTACATCCACGATGTCTCCGACCTGATCGATGTGAGCACCTGGCGTCTGGGACTGGAAGGGCCCCACACCGGGCTAGTGCAGATCATCAGCTGAAGGAGGGGCCGGCCCCTGTCCTTCGCTGACGGTCCAGGGTGGAGGGGAAGGGCAATGAGCGTGTGGGGTCTGGGAAATGAGTTTCTACTTCTGTGGGTGGGAGTGGACCTGTTGCAGCCCCTATAGAGTTGGGTCAGGCAGTCATATTCAGCTGCACTTGCCACGTACACTCTGCCAGCCCAGACCCTTGGTTGAGTTTGGGGATACGGGAGTGGTTGTCTACAGTTAATGCCCTAGGGATTTCCCCATGTGGTACAGACATGTTCAGCACCCCAGGTCTAGTCTGCCAGACATATGCCACACTTGAAAGAAAATAGAATTACAGCTGATCCTTAAACAATGTGGAGGTTAGGAGTTCCAATCTCCCCCTTCAGTGGAAAGTCCATTACATAACTTTTAACTCTGAAAACTTAACTATAGTCGTCTCTCAGCATCTACAGATGCTCAAGTCCCTTATATAAAATGGTGTAGAACAGTGCATATAGTTGATCCCAACATTGGATCAAAAATACTGTCTTCAGTCCACGGTTGGTGTAATGTGAGGATGTGAAAGCTGGGATATGGAGGGCTGACTGCATATTTAGTAAAAAAACTCCAAACCTGCACAGTTCAAACCTGAGTTGTTTGAGGGCCCACTATGCACAGGTCAGCTTTCTTGGGGATGTTATCAGTGGAGCAATCAGGCCATTTAAGCAAAAGGAGAATGGAACACTGATTTCCTTACCAGCTGCAGAGAATAGGCTGGAAGGACAGCCATGCTTGGAGAAAGACTGTTGTGAGTGGCGTCATCAGGGAGAGCCTCTCTCGCCTGTGTTGGAACTGGGACTGCTTCTCATGTGTTTTGAGCAGCTACTCATTCTAGGTCTTGAGGTGTTACAGTAGACAAAAGCCAGTGGCTCAGCCCTCATGGAGCTGACCCTGTATAACCCTGACATATTAACAGGCAATCACCATGCCACGGGGCAGGTGTCACAGTGAGGGAGCTGGAGAGAGAGGTGGACCCCTAGAGGAGGGACAGCAGATATAAACTCTGAGTGGGGAGAACATCAAAGAAGACTTCCTAGAGGAAGTGATCTCTAAACTGAAACCTGAAGGAAGGATGTTTAGGCAGGAGGAGAGAGGAAGAGTATGCCAGGCAGAGGGAATGCATGTAAGAAGGCCTGGAGATGAGAAAGAATGTGATGAATTTGGGAAGCTGAGAGAAGTCCTGCTGTTGCCCAAATTGCAATCCCAAGTCTCCCTGAGGGTTTAACGTGATTTGTGTGGTAGGGTTCGAAAATGCACAAGGGCCCCCAGGATGAAAGATTTTGACTATGGAATGAAAGGTCATCATGATGGGACAGGAAATACTTGTGGTGCCCACCTTCACATCATGGCCTTCACTTCACCCTTCTGTTGTGTGCCTGTCTCCAAGTGCTGTGATTTGGGCTTTCATGCCAGCCTGGCCCGTACCTTCCGGACCTACCTCTCAGCCGAGTACAACCTGGAGACCTCTCGCCACGAGGGGCTGGATGTTATTGAGAATGCGGTGGACAACCTGGATTCCAGAAGTGACAAGCACACGGTCATGGACATGTACAACCAGGTCTTCTGTCCTCCACTCAAGTTTGAGTTCCAGCCACACATGGGGGATGAGGTAGGTTCCTCCCAGGAGCCCATGCTTGAGACTGCTTCCATCTGTTCTCCCGCGTGCTCCCAGAACATTGCGGGGAGGGGACCATCAGCCCCAATTCCACATGCAGCATGTTTATCTCAGAGGCCTGGGGTCAAGTTCTTGGTTCAAGGGCTTTCCCAGCCAAGGAGTTTACCACTAATACCTTAACCTTACTGGCTCAAGTTTCCCACCCACAGAATTGCAGGACCTTAGTGCTCCTTAAAATCCCTCCCAGTTACTGTAGAATATCTCCCGTTCCTCCCTTGGATCACTGGAGTCTGGGCCTCATCACAGCCACTCTGGCTAACGTCCTCTGCCTGCCCTCCAATACAGGAGGCACACCACCAACTGAGTTTCCTTCAGTGCTTGTGCTGCTCAGATTCTTGCTATATTCTGGGGTGGGAGAGAGGGTAAGGCACTGGTCACTGGCCCCAAAGAAGCCCTCTGGTTACCCAAGTTTCACAAAATCCTTTATGCAAACAGTTCCCCCCTCTGGGGCTCAGACCTTAGTCTTGGAACTGAGGAGAATAGCCACAAGACATTGTATCTGTCTCCCCATCTCCATTATCTCTACCCTGGGGATATGTCCACAGAACTTTGTCCTAGTGGCCCCTGTCCCTTCACCTAGACATATCCACCCATGCACTTGGGAGTTTGGAGGACCCAGACCAATAGTGTACAAGACCCTGCCAGTCTCTGGTTCCTGTGAGAGCTCAACTGGGCCATCCACTGAACTTGCTTGGTGGGAAGGGACAAGGCAGCTCCTTAGCAGAGAGCGTTTGCTGGACCCTCCAGGTGGCTCTATCCACTTTCTTTATTTGCAAAGGAGAGTCCTGTGTAGGGTTTCCTGCAACACCTGCCCCATCCCTCATGTCCAACCCTTTTATCTAGCCTTAAAAATTCTGACCTCATCGTAACTACTAATGACTAGAAAGTTTGGGTTGCCTAGTTAGTGGTAAATAACTAATAAATAACAGAGCCCTGCTGTTCCTTGTGATCTCAGCTGAGCCACCCCAGGCAGCCCAGATTGCAGGTGGTGACAGAGCCCTGGATGGAATGGATGTAGGGAGAACAATATTTCTCTCCACATTTTCTCTCCTCCACCTCTCACCCAATCTACCTCCTGGGGAAGATGGTCCATGAGAGCCGATCACCTCACAGCTGCCTCTCTGAAGCATCTTCCTGCTGGGGAAGAGGAGCACCTGGCTCATTGTTCCCCATTCATCATTCTTTCCATTGGCATCTCTTAGGTCAGTGGTCGGCAAACCGCAGCTTGTGAGCCACATGCAGCTCTTCGGCCCCTTGAGTGTGGCTCTTCCACAAAATACCACGTGCGGGCACGCACATACAGTGCGATTGAAACTTCGTGGCCCATGCACAGAGGTCGGTATTTTGTGGAAGAGCCACACTCAAAGGGCCAAAGAGCCACATGTGGCTCGCGAGCTGCAGTTTGCTGAGCCGCAGTTTGCCAACCACTCTCTTAGGTGATTGCTTTCTTACAATAACTTCCTGCCTGGAAATTAACTAACTAGTCTCACTTTATGAGATTTGCCAGAGCTCGTAGTAAACCCTCAAGAGGGCACAGTGTAGAAGACCATAACTGAGAAGCCACACTTTGCAATTAGAGAGCGTGCCCCCTGCTTCCCATCAGGTGTTATCAAATATAAGCTGTGTTACCTTTGGCAGGTCATTTAAGCTCTCCAAGCCTGTTTCCTCAACATCTGATAGGGATATTAGTGACTAGTGACCCGGTGCACGGATTCGTGCACATTGAAAGGAAATTAATTAGAAGAAATATTTTAATATCGTTATTCGCCCTTTCTCTATAATAGAAGTGTCAACCAAATTCACGATCGACAATGACAGATTGAAACGTGCATGCAATTGGCACCAGCAAGAGCTTTATATGTATCGCACATGCGCGAGTCAACTTAGCCTTTTATATATGTATAGAATAAACTTGCTTAATTAGACTTGCTTTCTGATGTAGCTAAACTTTTTCCAGCCCAGTGAAGCACCCCAACTTCTCATTCAGGTAATTGTCAGCAACACAGCAGGAAATATCAACCCGAAGCAGATTATTATTGTAGATCACTCAGGGAGAACAAAGGGTAAAGTATTTAACTGCAGCAGTATTTGACTATACCAAGTGTGAAATGTTTGCACCTGGCTATAAAGCAAGTTGTATTCCTGGGCTGAAGAAACTGCAAGGAGACTAATCGTCACTAGGGAGAGGAAGCCGAGTGTTGCTATGTGACATCATTACCTGGCACCCACAGCAACCATTTCCAGGCTGTGCTGTGCTGTGGGCTGCATTTTGTGCCATGGGGTCTTGGCAGCGTCGGCTGCAATTTGGTGGGCTGTCACTCTCGGGTGGTGGCGGGCCTGTATGCCACTTGGGGGAAGCCGAGTGTTGCTTTGGCAGCACCAGGTCAATTTGTAAATGGCCAGTGCATGTCATGACTGCGTTGAGCATTGCCTCCTGGTGGTCAGTGCATGTCATAGCAACTGGTTGGATGGTTGGACACTTAGCATATTAGCCTTTTATATATATAGATAGCTCCTGCCCTAACTCCACACAGATGATGAGGACACTGGGTGACTGCTGGTGGGGGCTGTTATTCCTACAGGTGTGCCAGGTCAGTGCACAGCAGCCCGTCCAGACAGAATTACTCATGCGGTACCACCAGCTGCAGTCCAGACTGGCCACTCTCAAGATAGAGAATGAGGAGGTAAGTGAGCCCCTCTGCCCTATAAGGGATTTCCTTACAAAGGCCTAACTTGTCCTGGGGACTCCACATTCGCCAAAGAACACATAATAAATTAGGGTTCATCTGTAAGATAGACTGTTACACAACCATTAAAATCATGCACACCAAGAATCTTTCAGGGGGAATGCTCACAAGATGCTGAGTTAAAGAAACACAAAGAGAAAGTAAAATTTTATGTTCAGTATTATCATAACTCAGGTAGACTAGAGTATGTGCATATGTATTTGTGTGTATTCACAGGCATAGAAAAAAGACTGGGAGGAAATACTTCCAAATGTTAATAGTGGTTATGTCTGGGTTGTGGATTAGAGGTGATTTCTGTGTTGTTGTTGTTTTTGTGCTTTTCTCTATTTTCTGTAATGTTATTTATGTTATTTTTATCATCAGAAATAATAATAGGTATTTTATTATTATTAAATGAACAACCCCAGGCACACTACATGTGTCATGGATTCTGAGCCCCAAGGAACTTCTATCTTACCACAATCAGCATATCTCCCATGCAGCTGGTGGCACAGGATTACCACTGGGAGGGTACAAATGGAAAGCCCAGCTGTGGTGGTTCCATTCTGATGTGGACTGATGAGGCTAGGTGGGAAAAATTCTAGTCCAGCCTGGATACCTTCATGCGGGGAGGATGTCAACCAACTGGTGAACACCAGGATGTGGGGAGAGGACTTTTCATTGAGAAGTGCATTCACAGCAGGCGATGGGAGCCAGGGTCCTGTCTTCACATCTCAAGAGGGCTGTCCTGGCAGAGAGGGCGGTTCACTCTGTCTTCATAAAGGACAGAAGTAGGGGGAACATGAATGCGAGACAGATTGTCACTCAGGATGATGACGAATCAAAGCAGTCCCTGGGGGGAAGTTTTGTGGAGACAAATTATATATTTGTTTTTCAAACCTGAGAAGAGAGAGGAGGTGAACAGAGTGTTTTCTTTATTTACTCCTGCCTACATCTTTCCCCGAAGCATTTAAAAGTGTTTACATGGAAAAGTGTATGGATAATAATGTTAATGGAATTTAAATTGGAGATTAGGGCCACAGAAGGAATGAAGCGAGTGTTCCTCTGTAGAGGCTGTTCATGGTCATGGGATTCTCGATTTGGAACCTGAGCTTCTGTCAGGCTATATTAGAAAGAACTGAGTCGTTAATGTATTCATTCAACAAGTTTTCATTGAATGAATACTTATTCAAGTATTTCTTAAGCATATATTATGTGCTAAACATTGTGCTAAAATGCAGAGTAAAGTGAGTGAACAAGACAACATAGTGCCTTCTCTCATGGAGGCTATATTCCACTGAGAAAAGAGAGATAGTAATAAAAATACAAAAGAAAACAAAGTAATAAATAATGAGTATGCAGATTATTAGACAGAGATAAGCACTAAGTTAGAAATGGTAGTCAGGAAGCCTGATGTCACCAGGAGATGACATTTAAGTTGAGACCTGAGTGACTTCTCCTGGAAATGTTTTTGGAATGACGCTCCATCAAATTATAGGGTTTGCTGTTTAAGCTCAAATCAGTGACGAGGTATGGTGAGGTGAGGGCTCGTGGGCCCTGCGTGTGTAGCCTTCCAGGGGTCCCACTCAATCCCAAGGCAGAAATCAGGATCCTGGAGAAATGACTAGACTGTGGTGTCTTGGCATCTCTCTTCCTCAAGGTTCTCTCTTCTGTGAGGGTTTTGATAGGACTCAGGTGGCAGATAGCTGGACAGTTCACTCATGGAGGATGGCTGCTCACCTTACCCAATCTCTGTCCCCACCCTGAAGAGAACCAAGAGTGTTTATAGTGTTGTCCTTCTTCCCATATAGTTTGGGGCTGTATAACCAGGTAAAGAGAAACAAACCAAGAAACCCAAGTTCCTTTTTCGTCACAGTATTCTCCAAGGCTCTCTCTGGCCGAAGCAATCTAATAAAGTGACTTTAGATTGGTCAACCTGGATGCTCACCCCAGCCAGCTAACTGGCCTTACTTTGCACATCAATATAATGGGAATGATCATCTTTGTCCTGTCTGCCTCCTAGAGGCTTTGTGTGGAAGAAATAAAGTAATGGTTAGGAAAAGGACTTTGAGGCGTCAAATGCATCCTGAGGCTAACGGTTTTCTGTCGACATGCTTCCCCAGGTGAGAAAAACCCTGGATGCCACCATGCAGACCTTACAGGACATGCTGACCGTGGAGGACTTTGATGTCTCTGACGCCTTCCAACACAGTCGGTCCACAGAGTCTGTAAAGTCGGCTGCCTCTGAGACCTACATGAGCAAGATCAACATCGCCAAAAGGAGAGCCAACCAGCAGGAGACAGAAATGTTTTATTTTACAGTAAGTGGACCCAGAACCCGCTGTCTGCTTACCCGCTGGCACTGACTTCTGAAGAGCAGCCCAAGCTAGTGGGAGCCAGTGAAACCACCTGGGTCCGTTAGACCGACAGTCCTTCCAACATGCTTCCCAAATTAGGTTGCCTGGCGTGGCTTTGTGAAATGCAGAAAGTGAATCACCAGTGATAGTGTCAGCATTGATCTTGAATGGATGGTTATTGTAATGTTCCTGTTCTAGGAAAAAAACAAACTGTGTTCACTTAGGGTGAGAGGAAAATGGTAATGGAGCCAAGTGCAAGCCCCAAGTAACAACCCTGAAGTTTAGTGAATGGTTGTCGTGCTGCGTTGTCTTAAATCGGGGTGCAGGCTTTGAAAACAATGCCCTGCGTGATCCATGCAAATTGCTGGTGAGTTGCCAGGCCTTCATGTAAAATTCCAGATGGCTAACATTCCACTTGGCCAGGGACACCGATAAGGGCCACCAAGGCTGTAGTTCAACCTGTGATTAGTGAACATATAATTTGGGGTTTTAAGGGACCTTAAATCCTCCATCTGATGCTTTATCCCATTCAACCATATCTCTTCAAAAAGTCATCCAGCTCTGCTTGAACAGCCCCAAGTTGAAAAGCTCCCTCCTTCCCCTAGCAGCCCTTTTGTTTGGCCTGTGGCTGGCTATAGATATTAGAATGTTTTCCTTTATCTCTGTTCTCTTAAAAAATCTGCCTCACTGGGATTTCTGGTCATTGATCTTGATTCTGTTCTCTGGGGTTATCCAGAGAGCGGCTAATTCTACAGGATAGTCTTTGGTGTGGTCACAGGGAGTTGGGTTTTCATTTCCAGGTTAGACATATCTGGTTCTTTCAGTCCTGCCTCATAAGCTTTCCCTTTGAGATGCCCCTCATGTATCCTAGTGACTCTCTCCTGGACATGTTCCATTTGTCGAAGCCTCTTCCAAAATGAGACTCCCAGCAGTGTGGTCTGACCGGCACAGGCTAGAGTTAAACTCTCACCTCCTTCCACAGTAGGTGCTATGCTCCTTTTCATGAGTCCTAAGATCATATTCCCTTTTTTAAATAAAGCTAAGTTAATACCAATTAAATCTCTATTCCCTATGCACCAACATTAAACCAGGTTGCCCTCCTCCTAAAGGATGAGTAGGTGACGTCTTGGGTAGGTCTCATGTTTATCATATCAGTTAGAGATCTTATTCATGGATTCAGTGCAAGATCCTGATCCAGTTGTTCACCATAGGTGCTGTCTCTTCAGACCTTGTGTGGTCTTCAGACTCAGTGAGTGTGGCTTCCAAACCTTAATGTTTGTCAATAAAAAAAATAATGGATATGTCAGGGGCAAGGCCAAAGACAGAGTCATTCAAAACAGGCCATTAGGCTAATATTGACTACCCTTCTGTCTCTGGGGCCTGCAGAGCCCTTCCTCCTCCAGAGCGGGGCCAGGTGAAGAAAGACCTGTTCCCAGCTCCTCTCTGACAGGTCCGGTAGAGCACTCGCGCTTAGCCGTGTGCCCCAGGGATGGTTCAGTCTTTGTTGCTCTTGGCCCAGAAGCACAGTGGAGCTTTGATGACTGAAGAAGCCCTCTACTCAGAGCTCCCACAGTCCTCACCTGACAACAGTGCCTTTCACTGCTCCCATTCCCCTGAGCTTTCTTTGTGGTCCCAGAACTGACCTGAAATGCCTGCAGTCCTCACAGGATTGGGCAGCTGGAGGTCTGATGGGGAAAAGCAAAGGAGCAGCCACAGAGGCTCCCTTCCCCCGCACTGTGGTCCTTGGGGTGACACGCTCTCCCTTTTACCTCCCGGTCCCAGAGGTCCATTCTAGAGCAGAGATTGGAGACTTGGCCCTGTGATCTGTAATGTCCTTGTGCTTTGTGTCTTACAGAAATTTAAAGAATATGTGAATGGCAGTAACCTCATCACTAAGCTGCAGGCCAAGCACGACTTACTCAAGCAGACCCTGGGTGAAGGTGAGTCAGGTGGTGGAAGCCTGTGAGGAGGGGTTGTCTTCCCAACTGGGTTCTGTTGTGGCCCCTTGAGCTGTCTTAGCTTGAGACACAGCACACTTGGCAGAATGAGGCCTGGTACTGGTGCCACCTCCTAGGACTGGGTAAGCTGCTACAGTTTATCATCTATAGCCTTGGTACAAATGCTGAGAGGGGTCCAGTCTGACTGCAGAAATAGGGAAAAAACACAGGTTTTAACTTAGGTTATATGGAGAGTCTAAGGCAAAGTGATAAAGGACCCCCCAGTAGGAATTGAGGTGAGACTACAGAGACATGGGAGTCTGCATGAATGCTTTCCAGCAGATACCCTCTGCCAGGAGCTATTGGAGTATCCAGGATTCTAGGTCCAAAACAGAAAAATACATATGTGTAAGGCACAGTTTGGTCCTTGAGGGGCCCAAGGACTAGGCTTAAAACTACCCAAAGTAGTTTATGACAGTTGGAATAAAACCCCAGCGATTCTCATAACATATGAGGCCTTATGTCATTTGACCTCTGCCTGCTTCCCTGATATCATCTGCCATTCTCTACTTCCTTACTGTGCTCTAGCCACTCAGCACTGTTCAAAACTCGTTGAGCTTTTTTTCTACCCCAGGGCCTTGGCATATGCTCTTCCCCTGCCTAGAATGCCCTTACTCCAGATCTCAGTATGGATGACTCCTTATCCTTCAGTTGACAACACAGATATCACGTCCTCAGTGAGGCTCTCCTTGCCACCTGACCTCAAGGAATCACCACCTCTGTCCCAACATTCTGTCTTATTTTCTTCATCCTACTCATCATCATTTGAAATCACCCTATTTATTATTTGTTCACTTGCTTATTATCTTTGGTCATGCCCCACCCCACTTCAGCTGTATCACATCTCAAATCGAAGTAGGGACTTCCTTGCTTATTTTGTCCACCACTTTATCCTCAGTGCCTAGAAGAGTGCCTGGCTCATAGTTGGCTCTCAGTTAATAGTCACTGAATGAATGTTGAATGGAAAGGTCACCAGAACATCAATTAGGACCCAAGGTCAAGGATGTTTTACAGCAAGTTCTGGTGGGCCTGGAGCCTGACGTGAGGCTCAGCTATGAGGAGAGGAAGCTGACTGGGTCCTGCCTGGAGCACCATTAGCCCCACACTCAGATATACTCTGTGTTCTCTTTGGAGAGGGCTGTTGGCAGAAGGGTGTGCTCCACCAAAAGGAAAGAAAACGTAGGCTCCAGGAAATAGGGAGCCAACACGAGAGAGATGAAGGGAATTTCCAAGGTGATGATGCCAGTACATCTGGAGACAGCTTGAAGCAGGCCTAGAGGTCACCGGGATTTGGGGGGAGGAAGGAAAAGCATTACAAAATGAGAGCTGTTCTGGGCAAGGGGCTGGCTCTCATTGGCTCTGTGGGTGTTTGCCATCCACAGCATGTCCTTGCCCTTTACTAGATCATTCTTTTCTCCTTGTGGGTACACATCCCAGTGTCTGTGCTCTGGCCACACAAGCCCTCCCTTACACTGTCCCCTCAGCAGCTATCAAGTGGGCTGCTGGATTTCCAGATGCTTGGCAGTTGTGACCCCCATGCTTTAGAGGAATGGATTTCCCAGCCCCAAGGTATTTATAATCTGGATGGGAGACAAGTCATGAATTCATAAAAAACTAAATAACAATAAAATTGTCACACAGAAAGGCTAGATGAATTGCCACGTGGACAGCACAGATTCTGAGGGCAGTGAGTCAGGAGAGGAAGGGATCATCATGGGCCCAGGAGAACTGGAAATGCTTCAAGGAAGGTGGACAGCTAGGGGTTGGAGGAATAACCAGGGCTTTAAAACTAACACCAATGGAAATTTTCCAATTAACTTTATTGATATGTAACATATATATACAATAAGATGCACCCATTTTATGTATAGAAATCAGTGTTGATAGACATATATGCCCCGGTATAACCACTCACATCAAGATGCAGATCATCTCCATAACCCCTAAAGGTCCCTTGTGCCTCTTTGCAGTTATTCCCCAAGCTACCACTGCTTTGATTTCTATCAGCATAGATTAGCTCAGTGTGTTCCAGCTGATAAGGGCTGGGGAACTTTGGGCGGTGGGAGGGGAGGGGCGAGGATGGAAATGTTCTGTATTCTGATTTGGGTGATGGTTATAAATGGGTGTATATATTTGTCAAAACTCACTGACTGAGGGGTAAGGGTAAGGAAGAATCAACTGTTTCTTCGTTTCCTCCCACCCCTCTACATGCTGCCCATCCTGACATTTCAGTATTGGGTCAGGTGAGTGGGGCCATTGAGGAGTGTGGGAAACACACCAGCGGGAATGGAGTAAACGAGGCAGAAAGTCCTAGAGAGGAGATTGGTGAGTGTGTGACATGTGAGATGGTGGCTACTTAACTTTAATTTCAAGATCAGATGCCCTAGATTTAGACAACTAGATATTCTTTGAAAAAATAAGATCCCAGATGAGAAAGTGCTTCTCTCCAGCTCCCCTATGAGTGATCTCAGATGCAACCTGAATGGCCTTCATGAAATACTACTAATAATAGTTTGGTTTGGAATAACTCCAAAAAAGAAAAATCCATATGGCCCCACTCAGCTGGCCCAATACTGAAATGTCAGGATGGGCATCATGTAGAGGGGTGGGAGGAAAAGAAGAAACAACCGAGTCTTCCTCACTGGTCTTGCAAGTTTATTGAGCCCTTCCAGCGGTTCTCAACCTGTGGGTCACGACCATTGGAAAACACATATAGCATATCAGATATTTACATTACGATTCATAACAGTAGCAAAACTACAGTTATGAAGTAGCAACGAAAATAATTTTATGGTTGGGGTCACCACAATATGAGGAACTGTATTAAAGGGTCGCGGCATTAGGAAGATTGAGAACCACTGCTGGACACACCTTGCTCTGAGATGTGATTTACCAGTCCTTTCTCTGAGAGTTGAGCTTCAGCTTGTCCTGTTCTCTAGTAAGCCAGCAGTGGGAAAGCCACTGTGTTCCTTTCGATAACTGAGATGGGGGCGTCTTAATAAATTTTTTGTTTTAGACTAGTTTTAGATTTACAGAAAAGTTGCAAAGGAAGTACAGAGTTCCCATGTACTCCATGTCCTACTTCCCCTATTATTAACACCTTACATTAATACAGCATATTTGTCACAATTAATGAATATTGGTACATTATTATCAACTAAAGTTAATAAATTACAGAATTAATGAAAAAACTGAAGCTGAGACCAAATCTTTTTGTTGTTATTCAGTGCATGATAAAGGTGTATGTGGATTCTTAGGACATTGGGTGAAAGGGAGAATTTTCAACCAGAAGAATTTGCACCAACTTAGACTGATAAAGTTCTTGCCCATTGGGCAAGGGGAGGCATGGAATACGTAGGCCAAAGAGCTCAGAAGTTTGGCTAATTCATTCTTCCAAGTATCAACGGATGGTTCGCCTTTACCTGAGTGCATTGACTTCCATTCAGTAGAAAGCCCTTCTAAGAGTGGGGCAAGGGGAGGGTTAAACCTGCATCAATGGCCTTCTTATTTCGTGGGAGAGCTATTTTGCATGGGAAGGAACAATGTGGAAATTTTGAAAACAAGGGAGAAATATGGCGCCAAATGGAATACTTTGCCTGAAAAAATACAAGTGTGTGGGGTTTTTTAGTGAAATAAAGTAAAGTATCATGCTGAATGCTTTGCCAGCATTTCTATTTTCATAAGTTAGGGAAAACACAAAGTCTTTTGGGTCACCTTCCCTTAGAAGTGAATTTTTGAACACAATCAATTCCAGACATATAAATAAAAAAGCTCCTGTGTGCCCCACAAATTGGCATTCTTGTTATAAATAATATCACTGCCACATCTTGGGAACTAAGAGCGCCCACCCTTATATGCCTTTGGTTGTTGCTATGTTGTTTTATTGGCCAGAGATTTCTTAGTTTATCATCTCTGAGTCTTAGATCTTTGACCTTTTTATTGCTCTGGGTAGTCTGTAATCTCCAGGGCTTACACACAAGATACAGATGGTTTTGCAATTTACTAGAGCCCCTCAAGGATGAATGGTGCATCGTCTATTAAAGGGAAGGGACATAACCTTTCAGGCCAAGATTTAATAGTGCATTACTGAGCACAGTGCCCACCAGGACCAGGCAGTCTGACCTTTTAGAAGATGACTGAGCCACTGAGTATAAAATATTTCTTTTTTAATCTCAACAGGATTCAGAAAGTAAAGGGCAGAGCATTTTTTATTTCTGATGTTTGTTAGAAGTTGAGACAACAGACTCCAAAAGATGCTGGTGATGGGGTTCTTGAGAGCTGGGGTTGGTCTAAAGCTGAGGAGCGTGTAGTAGAGTCCTCGCCAGAGGAAAGGCTGCCTGAGTGTGTACTGGACTTCCACCACAGGACCTAACCCTCTGATCCCTGCCCTCCCTGCCCTGTGCCCTGTCTGTCCCTTCATCTGTCCATCCTCTATGTACACAAGACAGACAAGGTTCCTGCCCTTATGGGGAAGAGAGACCTCAAACAGTAAACAAACTATAAAGAATTATAACTGCGATAAGTGCCATGAATGGAAAATTCGGGCTGAGATTAGCTGCGGTGGGAGGGGCGGGGGGAAGAGGCAGCAATGGGGTGGCCTGCTTTAGGTTGGGTGATCAGAGAGGCCTCAAAGGGGAGGGGCTGGTTAAGCTGAGACCAAAAAGAGGAGAAGGCATCAGTCACATGAAAAACTGGGGAAAGACTGTTGGGACCGAGAGAACAGCACGTGCAAAGGTGTGGGGAATACATGGAAGAGGGGGAGCAGGAAACTCCCCCTGGATCCCCTTTACAGTCAGCACAGGCCACCGGCTCAGCCCTTTCATGGGTTGCCATTGGCCCCTACTCAGGGTCTTGGTTCCACATGAAAATTCTCCTCAGCTTGGTGTCTGATAGGAAGTTGCCCCAGACCCCAGACACACAATCAAGTTTGTTTTACCTGACTTTTCTATTCTTCTGTTTTGGTCTGGCTCCAGTTCAACCAGCTTCAGTCACTCTTGTGACTGCTTGTGGCTTTGGTCAGGAATTAAGGAATTGTGTGTTGGTTTGTTCTAAGTACTATTTTCAGATCTCTGTTACTCGCTTCCTCCCCTCACTTCTCTCCCTAGCCCCATTCAGCATTGTTTTCTCTAGGGAAAATAAATGCTCAATTCTTTCTTTTAAAAAGTCCCTTCATGTGACTGCTGGATGGGGTTCTAGAGTCTAGAGCTGTGCTGCCCAATATGGTGGCCACTACCACGTGGCTATTGAGCCATTGAAGCGTGGCCAGTCTGAATTGAGATGTGTAAAGTGAACACCAGATTTCAAAGTTAGTGCCCCCTGCCCAAAGAATACAAAATATCTTATTAATTTTTATGTTGATCCATATTGAAATGAGCATGTTTTTTATGTGTTAGATTAAATACAATATGTTATTAAAATTAATCTCACCTGTTTCTTTTTACTTTTTCTAATGTGGCTACTAGACATTATGGCTTGCATTATTTTCGCATTGGATAGCATGTTCTAGAGGTCTGCTCCTGCTCCATGAAAGGAATGAAGTACTAAATCATGCTGTATGGAAGGACTTCAAAAGCATTAGGCTCAGTGAAAGAAGCATAAGGCCACATCTCTCATGATTCCATTTGTAGGAAATGTCCTGAATAGGAAGCTCTG